AGTGGATGTGGATGAACATGCACCAAGTGGATCTCATGCATTTGTACACAGTGAAATGACAAAAGGATGCGGTCCGATATGCACCACAGAGCGCGTTTTATGCCGGTGCCTTCACCCTAAATGTGGCCGGCGTTCGTGACTCATGACTCAGATGAAACGTGTATGAAGTGAACAGATTGATGACATGAGATCCTATTCGGTAGTTGATCTGTGTTCGAATTACAGATAACTTGCAACCGTTGACGCCAAAATTTGGAATACGGTGACGTAACCAGCGGGCCCGTTGGCACTCGAGGAAATGCTGAAAACATCTCATCTCTGGTTTCTTTCGAACAATATTGAATGCAATGTGTCAAAGGTTTTATCTCAACGACACAAGGGGCGAATAACGTATTTCCTCGGAAATTAACAACTGCCGCACGCCTCAAGGACCTGGGCATCATCATTCAAGAAAACTTAAGCTGCTCACTCAACTGCCCCAGAGTGTCGAACGCAACTGTAAAGAATGTTGGTTTGCTCAGGCGGGTCTTTGGCCGGTTTGAGTCAGCGCGTTTCCCCCGTCTGCTATCAGCATACATTCATCCACTCACAGAGTACGTCATCCAGGCATGGAATCCATGGCTACAACGTAATTGCAAAATGCTGGAGTGACTACAAAGGACGGCCACCAAAATGAGTATGGGGTTGAATCGCTATCCATAGGCAGAGAGACTGAAGTCGTTGGGGTTATATTCCAATCACTACCGGCGCATCAGAGGAAACATGATTATGGTATGCCAAATAATGAAAAACCCAAGCCATCCGTTAAAATTATCACCTCACGTTCTTCTTAGACGACGTTCATTCCAACTAGTGGTCTCAAAATGCCAATTGGAATGCCGGCATCAGCCATTCGCAGCCAGTGTGTTCGATCTAGAACTCTTTCTCTCTCTCTTACCCCGTGTCGTCTGAGCGCCAAGCATTGAATTTTCCAAACGGAGACTTGATGGAGAATTAGCACGCCTGACATTCCAACATAAGTAAAACTGCGTGTAGTAGTGGAAGAAGCCCGCCCGCATCATGTGACATCTTTACACAAGAAATTGGATGTATCACTGTCTTTTAACCACAACACGAATCTATGGGACGAGAAAAGCATCAGTAGTAAGTTATTCCCATAATAAATCTTTCAACTTTGAATCTAACTTAGCAATACTGTCTGTCCTGCATATTTGCTAGTCAGAATTCGTTAAAATAGAGCACGAATGCATCAGAGTAACTCTTTTCAATGAGTTAGCTTTCCGTACAACTGAAAACCGATCATTCGAAATCGCTTCACAAGGGCGAAGACATGCTTGGCGGATGTTGATTTCCAACTTTGCCGTCGTAAGGGGGTCCGCCAAAAGGAGACCAGTGCCGGATTGAACCCGATTCATCCCGGCGACAATGACGACCAATTCAATATGATCTGAGCTCCGGTTCACATTTCACTGATTAAGCACCGTCACTGATGATTTTAAACAAGAATCATACCATTGCAAAAACCTGTACCGTGGGAAAGGAAACGTCGATTCTGTACGACGATCTCACTAAATATATTTAAAAAAAACCGATCCGGCGGTTCATTCATGGAACAACAGGATTTTCTAAAGGGATTTGTATGTTTCAATGACGCAGCGTTGTCCGCGCACAGGATCACAAACGGATCAGTGGATTACTGGGGTTTAGAGAATCGTTCAATCTCAAACAGAACAAGACATGAACCATCCGATTCAATTCAGTTTGTACTCGGTCCATCATTTAGATGACAAGCTTCTTGATACAATATAAGTGATAAACGACTGTCAGGGGGCAACGAAAACCTCGAAAAAGGTCTACAAATGGATGGTGGTGATGCAGTGGAAGAGTTGTTGTCATGGGCATACTTTGGATCAATGTTCTAATGTTCGAACCGCCAGCGCCGCCCAACTTCGGCGGTAGGCAGCCTTGCTGTCGTCCGGTTCTATACAGGACCTAATCTAATGGGGCCTTATGTCGTTCGCCACACCAATTCCCGCGAGGCTTAGGTTGCTGGTTTCTATCACTGAATACCAGATCTTTTTGTTCATAACACCAAAGTGCGTGGTAAAAAAAATAGCTTTTACGGGTTTTGGGGGTAAAAATGCGGTGAACTTCGTGAACTCCATTCCAAAGTGAACCAGATTGTCCTTTGATTTTTGACCGGTGGTGAACATTACTGTCAGCCGATTCTATCCCATCTGAGGATCAGACGCAACAGGACGCGGATTTCGTCCAGCGCAGAGGACAGGAATCATTATCATCATTGTACAGCGAAATACAGAGAAGTGAACTTCACTGATCTCTGTCAAACTCGCAATACATATGCATTCAGGTTTGATGGACGGGTACTGCTAGGGTGTCCAGCCACTAAGCAGAACGATTAGGGTTCTCGGCCAAAGCCTTTAGTTCTAACAAGAACCTAGCCGCAGGGCAGCGGGTGAAGCGAAGTGGAGACCCATTTCCTTGGATCAATTACTCCACCATTTTTTACCGACTGAAACGCAAATTTTAGTCGAGCCCCCAACTTGGAGACGACTTTGTCCGACTCTATTCTTCGACCTTCCAGACACGATTAGATCTTCGGCTTGGAGAAAGCCATCCCGTGTAAGTCGTTGGGTCAGAGAGGTGCACAAGCCATCACACCACGTCAAGGTGCATGAATTGAAAAGCCNGGCTAACTGTTTTGACCTTCGTGGATCTCATACGCCGTGACAACCCATCGACTCAACTGGGAATCAGACTCGGGTGGAACGCAAGCATACTACCCATTCCAGGCACCTAGTCACTCACTGATCACATCATCTTTCATTCTGTCTATACATGGATTAAGGCGAGAAGAAATACAGTTTACTATCAGCAGAAAATGGCTCAATCGGAAAACGGGTGTGGTGGGGGGGGGGCAACTGACAAGAGCATACAAGATTCCAAGATTCCAAAAGGAGATTTGATATTTGGAATGACCATAATTTACCTGCAGTCGAGCATGTTCCCGAGGCGAAACACGATATCCACTCAGCGTGATCCACCAATGACTGTCCGTCACAGAATTGGAAATGAGACCGGCCGAGTCTAGGCTGCACAGACTGACCGATTGGAGACAGGCAGGCAAACCTTGCGTTGTGGATTGCCGATGCAAATTGCGCTGTGGTGAGGCGGGTTTCGAGGTAGGCACGCTGCCGTTAGCCACGCCGACAGACATCCGTCGATCTAGTGAAGATTCAGTGAACGGTTGTACTTGGNCAAACTCTGTATTCCGTCAGTAGTTGTCGGTCCGACTGTTGATGGTTTGGTGGGCTGAGTCATGGCAAACTGGGGTAGGAGACCGCACCATTTATTGACAAGGAGTTGCCGATTCGCGAACCCCATGTGATCCAGATAGGCGAACAGTAGCGTGCGAGCAGCATAACGAATCTGGGATAAAGGATCACGGATTTGAGAGAGTAAAACAAACAAAAAAGGTCTGTGAGAACACGAGCGTTGTTACCAATTAATCAATAAAAACCTATCTATTAGACACTGGATCGATAAACATTCAGCATGTCACGCGACACAATATGGCGAATGAAATAATTGGCCCGTATCACATGACTGAATCAGGGTGTCTGTAGATACGGTAGACCCAGACGTAACGGTGAAATAACGATTGCCTGTAGGGGAGGGGTTTGGATCTCACACACGAAACCAATAGGACGCCGAAGACCAGATAAATGATCGGTGAACATAAACGAAGCGTCTCTAGATCAGAGAGGCAGATCAGGATAATCCCAAAGCCGGTAGCGAGATGTGCGTTGACATGCAGGGATCGATCCAAATCGGAACTGAAGGATAAACATTCGCCTTCGAACAAGACGGAATAAATAATCAAAAACATTTGAATTTATAGCGGTTAAATAAACCACAAATGCAATCAGATACCTCGTTTCGCTTGACAAAGTTATCATATAGACTTTTTTGTCCGCAATTGCATCAAGTTAATCGAATTCCCACTAAACAATTTAATCCAGTGTGCAGTGAGAATGTCGACCCTAGATTGATTGGGAGTATGACTCACACGCGCATATTGTCCCTGAATGAGGACAAACTGGGATCGATGAACATCGGGAACGTTACAGAGCGGGCAAATGAACCAATCACGTTAAAGTATCAAAATAAGTTCTGGTTCATTAAGAACAATCCAATGAGTGTCGTCAGGCGAATCAATGAGGTTCAGACTGATACACTCTGGATACTGCTCCCGGGTGTCGTCTATCGCTGTAAGACATGTTGGTTTGCTAAAACGAGTATTTGGCAAATTTGAACCTACGCTGTTCCCACGATCATCAGCTTACATTCGACCCCACATAGAGTACGCCATTCAAGCATGGAAACCATGGCTGCAACGCGATTGGAAGATTCTGGAACGTCCATAAAGAATGGTCACCAAAATGGTCAAGGGACTGCATTCCAAGAGTTACGCGCAAACAGTGGAATCACTGCAATTGTACTCCACACGGTATCACCGCATTCGAGGGGACTTGATCTTGGTATATCAAATAATGCAGAACCTAAATCACCCATATAGTCCACTCTTTTCCTTGTAGCCAAACACTCACCTGCGGGGGCACTCATTCAAATTAGTGCTCCAAAAATGCCAACTAGAATGCCGGCGTCATTCATTCGCCCTCAGAGTGTGCAGTACTTGGAATTCTCTACCATCACACGTTGTTTCTGCGCCTACGATTGATTCATTCAAGCACAAGCTTCGAAAAGTCTTGAATTTCAACATCCGTAGCAGGGCACGAAACAAGGACAAATTGTGGCATTCATCTAATTTGTATGAACTGTGAATCGATTCAACTGTGCTAAACCCTATGAGACTAGAAAAGCAACCGCTTGTAAGTATTTCCCATAATAAAACTTTGACTTTGACCACTAATTTAACAAAGCATTCGTTCCATAAGGAACTGTACGCGAAAGCACCAATTGCTCCTTCTGGAATCGAGGCATGACTGCAGAACACATATCGTATAAAACTGAAACGTGCATATATAGAGAACAGGGGTATCAGATGACCGACATAACGTGTCCATGTCCATCTCACAAACAAACGATCCGAACCATGACGATCAGAAGACTCGTAACTCTAAGTTCGTATGTGGTACACATATTACGCGCGATCAACGCTACCGATTTCGAAAATTCAAATTGGAAAGCACCGATCGTGTTACATTTCTGAGCTATAGTGGTATCTGCAGTCTAAGCAATTAAGTGAAATTCGGCACCCAACCCTGCACGGTCATCAGCACGACAACACTAGTTTTCTGCATACATGGTCAATTTCGTTTCCAATCGACGAAATGATGAGGTCAATCAATCAACACCACAAATCATATAATTCACCTATGAGCCAAAGCACCAATAATTGTGACTTGATAATGCAGTAAGTTGGTGACATCATTGGAAACACACACGTGTGTGCGCAGTGCACTACAGCTACCAACACAGTTGAACAGAAGGGCAAAGTTGAAACCCACCGGTATCATTCGATCCTGCCATTTTTGTACCAGGATTTCCAATTCCGGTAAACGACAGGCTTGGTTGGCCTGCAACCGAGGTGAACCCCAGACACACTGAGCTAACAACGGTCCGCAAAGGCAAGCGGCTAATTGAAGCCAACACGCCCTGACACATGTCAGTTCTGTTTTGATGCTGGTTTCGGCCGTATCCCCGATAATCAGCGACAGCGGAGCGGCACGGGAAGATGGATCTGACAATTGTAAAAGTTGTTCCGCACAGTCCCGATCCAAACTGGTTAAGGTCTCGCACAAGCTGAGCTCGGCTAGCATCAAGTTGGTACTGATTCCATGCGAGAGAGAATACAAACGGGAAACTGATCGACCAGTTGTGGATGGAATAACTGAGATCCCGGGTGCAGACCAACCTTGAGACAATCGAAAAACGGGGTAAAAATGATTGAAAACAGGTTAATGAAGAAAGGAGCTTCATTTATTTCATTTGGCAAATCATTATCCCTCCCACTTTGTGTTCCCACTCCACAACGTGCCATGAGTTGAAAAAAAGACGCATTACAACGACGACAGGATGCGATGCACATTCATACCACACGACAATCTTCACCGTCAATCGATATTTCATGTATTCACTTTGAAGTAGTGTTAATGTACACTTGCAATTTGAGTTTCACTTAGGTCGGTGTCGGATTGGATTAACCAACAGGTCTCAAGTATGTATGTAATTGCGAAATACGGTACTCGTTTACAAAGTTGGTAAGAAAGAAGAGTATCGTAGTGACAAAAACACCAAACTGATTTGAAAAGAAATGCAATTCTGAGCCGGGTTGAACATGTGCCGGATTTTGTGTTTCAGCTCGAGGGCAAGCCGTATTCCGTTCGGACCAATCAGATTATTTCATGCGTACAACGCTAACCAATCAAACAGACATTCCCCGACCGATAGTGAGAACTGAACGCACAACGCTACACGTGTTACGCACGTACTACTCGCAAATCATCGACTGCCGAAAGGCGTATGATAGGCGCTCCTCATTCACAANACAATCAGCGTGTGTATACACCTGATGTATTGACGAGTACCAATGTGGGTCAATCAATTTGGTCAGACTTATTTTCATCCAAGAAAAACTCCCTTAAGAGCGGTATTCTATTATCCATGGTAAAACAAAACCACTTGTTGTAGAGTCGGACATTTCATTGCTTGGGGAACTGAGGTCATTGGACAGTTTGATAAATCCCAATCAAGTTTAGAGCATGACAGTCCATTGGTTAAAACACTTATGCGGGGACCTATCGGTCCGAGTTTTGATTCAGAGGAATGGACCTCTGGCCGTTTTGATGTCGTCCGGTTCAATACCACACCCGAGCTAGCGAAGCCTTATGTGGTTCGCTACCCCTAGTCCCCCGGGGTTAGGTGACCGGTTCCCATCAACGAAAAGCAGGTCTTCACGACTATAGAGTTCATCCTGTCTGTGTGATTAAAGAAAAAACTGTATTGGTTTGCATGATAGTGATTCATATCAAGGCTAGCTGTTTTCATAATTCACCCCTAACTAACACCGTGATGTGATGATGTCAATAAATCGATTTAATTAGGGATATCGTTGTTTGGAACCGATGCTAAAGTGGGCGGGACACGGGAATCGATTTTTACGTTGTGAAGTGTAACCAAGTTCGGAGGGAAGCTAACAGCTGCATTGAATAGCTAGTACCGTGGTTCCAATTCTAACCCAAACTTGAATGCAAACAGATGAGATAGAAGAGTGACAGGAGAAATATTGTACGGGTTTCATCATTATTACCCATTGCTGAACGGATTAGATGAATCTGTCACGTGTCAGAGCACGAGAAAGTCAGTTATCCACACCGCGGTATACGGTTATCAAAAAGAAGAGGAACTTACCCGGTAAACAGAGACTTAGACAGCCATGTTTTGAGGGTAAACCCAAACAGAGATTGTCTCGGACCGGAGAGGATAACACATCGGATTTAGTCTGATCTGACTGCGATCTCTCGCGAGAACCGACACACGCCAAAGCTGCATGATCCGCTTCCGGATCCAAACCCCAGGGATGCAGAGAAGCAATGAATAGTTGGAGCTGTTTCACCAAAGCTGTACAGTGCAGCCCGGACAGTGTGGCAGCCTCATGCAACCGGTCCACTGAGCACTGTAAGACACCGAAAAATACAAACGTACCACTGAGAATAACCGCATTACTATTATAAAAAAAACGGAGACATAAAAGCCCCCAAATCGTTCGCACGCAAGCCCAGAAGATCGATTCAAACACGAAAACCGAAGTGGGTCGTTCAGTTTCAGTTTTCATGAGCATTACCTAAACAGGTGTTTCTTGAGTTGATAGTCGTTTCATAATGAAACTGTACGGTCTGTTACGGACGAGCGAGTTATATAATTATAACAAAAGAATTGTGAGGACTTTAGGTGTCTAATCAGACCGCGGATGCATCTTGTGAACCAACTTACAGTTTAGGGGCATCATGCGAAGATCTTAAGTGAAACGAGAAAACTCCTCAGAGGTCAGCGGATAAAGTGAATTTATTTGGATAATAAACCACTGGGAGAAAAATGGACAATTCATTCTATCAACAATATTTATTGACCTGGAGGTGGCGCAGTGGTTTAGTCGCTGTCACCAGCGTGCTTTGGACCCTATGATCCGAGGTTCGAGTCCCGCCACCGCCACCCGGCTTTGGGGGTAAGCAGCCCTGCTGTCACCCAGTTCAATACCAAGTCTAACCTATCGGGGTCTTTTGTAGAAAAACTCAGACCAAGCCCACGGTAAGAGAACTACTGAGGCTCCAGAACATACTATCCGCAATGTACATGATGAATACAGTTCATAATTATGTCAAAGGGAGGTCAAATGGTGGAGGCAGTGTGATTGGTCAAAGCAGCTTGTACGTCCAACGCGGATTGATCCGACGATTCAGGGGAAAGTACTTTATAGGCAATCACCTCGTTCATTCAAGGTACAAAGAAGATTGGCAACAGCATTCACACATGAAAATAGTTGTCAGTTTAGCCTATATCTGTGAGGTTTCCAGGTCAAGCGATTCATATTTTCGTCAAAGCGACTGAGAGGTCAAGTGTAAATATCCGAGCACCTGCACTCATCTTCCTCCGATAAACTTTGAGTGATCGCAGACCCCTTCCTGATTTATTAATTACGATTTTAGATAACACAACACTAAACCAATGAGTCACGCAACCTCGCTCGGTGTGTTGAGGCAACATATCTACTAGGAGGGAGCTCACGGAGACCGTCAAGTCACGCACGGATCCGCGTCACACCACGAGCACCCTCGTGACGCCCAAGGGGGATCGATTGCAGATTGGATGAGTAGGGCGAACCAGACAGCTGTCGTCCGATTGGCCAATCGGAGTGTCAAGGACGCGATCTGATTGGTGCGTCACCAGATCGTTTCCGCACGCCCAATTTACCCACTTATATTTGCGTATTGCATTAGCATCATAAAATACACTTTGGCTGATGTTCTTCAGTTGCGTTTTCTGTCCTTTGCTGTTGTTGAGACCTAGGCAAGAGGTGCTGGTGTCGATTCTACGTCTAGGCAGAACATAATTTTATCCGGTAGATGAGCAGAAATAAAAAAAGCATCCAAATTGAGAAACAATGGATTTGTTCGCGTTTCACAACATCAAATCAGAAACCCTGATTTTTAGACTTTACAATACGTGTGATAAACGTAAGAAGGGATGGAACCAATAGTCAAAAGGATCTAATCCCTGTTCCGTAATAGGATTCGGCGGTCAACACTCAGGGACCTCGAATGAAGAGGCTGATAAGACCGCAATAGGATAACCGTGAATCAGAATCGGGCAGGCGCGACAACACCACTGAAGGGACGGGATTTGAAGCACAACTATTGCGGATCGGTGCATGTGCTAGTGAATGTGAGCATCACCAAATCATATGAGTTCTCAATGCATTCTACTCTGTGCACTGACCTGTTGGACATTAACAAAAACTAAAATGATACACCGGGTGCTACTGGTACTCTCCCCCACCCCACCATCACCACCCCGAGGAGCAAAATGCAAATATCAATCTAATCAGTATTGTACTGCCACAAACACATACCTTGTCCGCGGATTCACCGATAGATGCATTTTCCGCTTGCAGGTTTGCTACAAAACAAAACAAAAAACAGGTGTGAATTCAGAATGTGAAAAACGATCGATCGATCGGCGTAATTCACATGCACACAAATATGCACTCAGAACTTTGACCTGAGTAGTCTGAGTGCCGAGTAAATCTAAGTGCTACACCCGTTCCCTCTCGCGCCATCTATCTGGCTATTATATTGTGAACATTGTGCAACTCAGTAGTGATACCATCCAATTGCCAAAACAGATGATGGAAGCTAGTCTCGCTTCATAACACACGCCGGTTTTGGGGATAGAGGTCGGTTGATGGGTAGAGGGCCATCTTCAGTCTGTATGATTACGACAAAATTAGCCGGCGGACAACTGGAAGTGATACGGAGAAACGGTTACAGCCACACACCCCACCCTGATAAAGTAGGTGGAGTAGTGCATCACCTACTTGGCACTAGATGGATGTGTATTTGGACTGAGGTGGTACAACTTCATATGATCCCTCCCTGCTCAGCTTAACAGTCATTCTGGTTTATCGAAAACAGGTTGAAATAGATCAGCCGTGACGGGATGACAAATGAGTGTAAGGGAAATCCCAAAGAACGACCCCGTGGTCATAGACTGAGAAGTGGTTGTTCGGGCACCAGAACTGTCATAACGTGACGAATATGAGGGGTGGGAGGAGGGGGGGGTAAATGTGATTCTCCTAACCGTGTCAAGATGTGATTCGCCGCAAAACGTTTGAGATATGATCAAGCCGTAAGTTATTCTTCGACTCGTTTATATATTTGATCGCCCCGGTCTCAGATGTTAAATAACACATAATAGTTGGTGACTTTAACCAGACTAGTATGTATGCTCTTTCAGCATTAGGTATGACAGATCTTTGTCACTCTTCCACAGAGAGGTATTTCTATACAGGACAGAGAAATCACAAACCACCCAAATTTTTTTTTCTTCAGCACTAAAAGCACAAATTTCTGCCAACAACCACTGTTTACTCGTGATTCGACCTAAAGTTTATTCGCATCGTACTTATAAATCTTCCTCTCAATCTGACCAGATCAGACTTCGCTTTCACGAACCTTCACTCACAAGTGTTTCTCCTCTGAATAAATCTTTCAGACAGGTTTTTTTATAGGTTTCATCACCGCCTACCTCTCCAGTCACGTATGCTCCTCTATTAACCCAAACAACTATTGCCATTTATGATTAGTGCTGTCCCGCTAAAAGTCTGTATGTGTCCAACGAAAAGATAATCTCTCCGCTAGTAGTCAGTACGAAGACGGAAGGAACGCGCATACAGGTTCCATAATGCTTCAACTGTCAGGCACATGTCCAGGCTTACGCCACGGATTAAATATTATGGACTGATTTCCTTTTATTTCTGTGAATGAACTGACTGTCAAATTTAAAAAGGCATTTACATTTTTACAGATTATCATGCCAACTTCCTGTGGCACATACCCTAATCACCCACTGCATGCAGAACTGGAACATTGTCGTTCCCATACCTCAACACCCACTCAATTGTGCCGAATGTCATCTCGTATAAACGTTTACCGAAATTCACCTATACCACCCAACCTAGCACGTTTACTCACAAACAACAAGAGGGGGAAAGAAATTGCACTTCGCCTTGACCTTGGACTCTGCAATGTCGATGTAGTGTCTCTATACACTTTTTCCCCGTTGTACACATGTTCCCTGTGACGGTTGGCATGTCTAATTTTTCAAATGAAATAAGAGCTCCAGTGCGTGCAAAAGTTATACAGAATACGATAGAAAACAAAAAATTCAAGATGTGGTTTTGAATAAGTGTCACCACGGATAGGGCCAATGAGTGTGTGACTATTTCCAACCGGCAAGCCGAAAATCAAGATTCAAAAGCATCAATGTTTACTTTTTTTTTAGGAAGGTCACGTTGATGCTGGTTTCAAATCGAACCCAAGATTGAATGAAGAATAAAGAACAATCGAGGAGGAAAGCCTATCTCATCTAAGAATTGCGTTATTGAGATTTCCTGGGGGGGGGAGGGAGGGAGAGAGAAATGCTTCAACTCTTTCAAAGAATCTAGTTCTCGAATAATTCCTGGCTTCTCCAAAATCGAGTAAGGTCTTGTTCTCACTTCGTTTTCATGAAGTGCATCACTTAAACCACTAACTTAAGAAGTTTTGATTACAGATGGCAAACATTCTTTCAGGAGCACGTTCTACTCAACGGAACCAGGTATTACTATCTATCCACGGCAGTGTACAGTCTTTTTGACTAGTCAAACACACGTGGCTTATGTGTGCCAATATCAGCCTGGTTCTTGTTTTTGTGTACCATAATATAGTTCATCCTCAATATGATCGCCAGATGTCACGTACCACTTACTTGTCGGATGGTTGAAAGAGCGGGTATGACAGACTTCTAAAGATAATACAGCTGGGACACCAAAATCACAGTGAGATCCGATATGATTCGCATTCAACGTGCGATTTGGCTAAGCCGAAAGCTTATAGGTTCAACCTACTTCAAGTCAACTACTTCATTCCGCAGAAGGAGATCCAGTCCATTAGTGGCTAGGTCGAACGAAGGATTTTCTAGAGCACAATCTATAGTAAAGCGATGGGGGGGGGGAGGGTACGAAACGGAAACGAGTGGTTATCGGTTCAAAACAAGGCATAATTCGGTTAAAGGTTTTCTGTCAATCTGTCTTTCAAAGGATAAGCAGGAGTATTTTTATTTCCATATAAAAATTTCGAGTGTACACACATTTGACAGTGAAGAGAGAGAATAAGCTATGTGGCTTACAAATCATGGCTTCTGTGTCCCAGTGGAAAACAAAAGCAGCCGGTCCGGCCGACAGAGATCGTGCCGGATCTAATCTCATATCCGCGGAGGTCAAACCGATCGTGTGCAACAAGATCGTGGGCTGGTGACTGCGTGAGGACGAGGCACGGCGCAGAGGGGCGCTACGTCTGAGACGAGCGGGAGCAGTGTGCAGGACAGAACCGGCCGCATGCGAGTTGTTTGCACAACCCGCGAAAACCAATGTGGCTGTGCGTGTATGATGTGCTTGGATTGGGGCCGACTGATACGACAGTTGGCTCAGAGATGCCCCGAAAGAGGCCGAGGACAGTTGCACCTCAACCACGTAATGTGCCTGTTCGAATAGGTCCCGAGCACCGCTATCTGTCTCCAAACTGTGCATTGGCGAGAAAAAACAACACGAAAAATTAACTCAAGTTCGTCGTATACGGGAGAGGGAAACACCGAAAATCACAATAAACCGCTGTAAGGGAATAAAATGGTGTGAATAAATCATATGGGAGAACCGTAATTGAACTGATATCGGACTCACCGATCAAGACATCCAACACTGATGTCCCACACTTCAAGCAAACCATCCGCGTGGGCGACAAACAGCATGTCTTCGGGTACACGCCAGCCCAGCGCGGTAACTGGTGCACCGGACACGCCGTTGCATGGTGTGGTAGAAAGGAGGACTCGCTGTTCCCGTAAGCTGATCACTGATACAGAACCATCGGCACCGACAGAGCAAACGCAAGCCTATATAATAGGGTAATTGAAAAATGAGAAACGTGTGTTACAAAATAATGTGTGAACTAGGAAGTAAGGACGCGCTGGACAACTGTTTCAATCTGGTCGGGTCTCATCAGCTGTGCCAATCTATTGACCCAACTCGGGAGTCGAACCCAGGACGTCAGTACAGGTAGAAAGCAAGCATACTACTACCCACTCGAGCACCGATATAGCTATCACAACCCATCTTCGTGAGCTTGATGCACGCATCACACGCGGTGCGCATCTCAGCACTAACTTCCAGGGTTATGACTCGGTTGGAGACATTCGGAACCTGATAACCTGATACATGGAATTAGTTGGGGATTCGTTTCGATTAGACAGCTTTCAATTTCACCCCTCGGCTACTCTGTACACAATGAAATTCACCGTATGATCAAACCCAATCGTCCATTATTCTCATATATTGTGAAAAATGAAAAATTTGAAAGTTTGCCGTCACTGATAACGAGTAGGAGACTCAAGCAATCAATCCATCACAAAACGCCCGGTCTAAATAAAGCACTGAGACGCGCTCAGAATGCTCTACAATACAACAACAACAACAACAACAAAAACAGGTTTCTCAACTACGCGGACGCATTAGCCATCCAACATTGTCATCGCCACCTGGGTCTACAAAGTGAATCGCACTCTGGTATATAACTTTGGTACCAAATGTGTTCGATTGGTGATGTTGATCGCAATCTTCCTCCGCTTATAATATCCCACCGTTTCCGACTATATCGTATCACTAAGCATTTAATCTGAACAATGCACGTGTACAGATTCAGTGAAACGAACCAAGACACACTGAGCCAGCCAACCTGTGTGCTTCGGTAATCCTGTTCCAATTGGTTACGGGAGGAAAGCGTCCGTTCAAAGGAGAAAATACCAACCGTCAGTGGGAATACCGGGAGGATCAAATAGCATAAGTTTGTCCGATTCACTGAATCCCGCGAATGTGCATAGCTTGTCACGCGCGGTAAATAGAATAGATGAATTTGTTGACCACATTTCTAACCGCTTGGATTTGAATACCCTGAAGACGTCGAATACCGTGAAAGTTATGGACTCCTCAGAATGACGTGGATGGTTGGTTCCTCCGAGATCAAAGCTCCGATGGGCGGAATCTCTCTCTATACATACAGGTATTGACGAAACTCGTGCAATATCCTGATTTTCATAACATATTTTACGCTCAATGCTTCGTTGTTCAAGCCTCATTCACGGGATTGAAAATGATATTGCTCCACATCAGACACAACATATCTCATATAATACCCACTTATGTCTGCTTCTACCAGCCGCATGCCATTGAAATGTAGGATTTCGCGACTTTGACGATGGCCGCTTGTGCATCAGTTGCAAAATAACAAAATAACAGTAGGAAACGTAACAAGAATATATTTATTACTATGATTCATAGACGTCATACAGGTATTGTACTTTCATCTCGTCCATGTTCCATTTGCCCTTCTTCATTTTTGAGCACTGCAGGCAGTCCCATTAGCATGCAGTTCGCCAAGTTGACTGCCAAACAGGATTTGTCAGTTTCCTCAAATACACCGCACATCCTTACCACTGACGATCAACGTTGAGGTAGCTAATGTATACCTGTTTCTGATACAGGAAAGCTTTTTGGTTAAATTAAAATCCCAGCTACTACGCGGTAATTGAATGAATTTCACATTGAACTTGACCCCTCCTGAGACTGAATAAAAATGTGAAAAAATAATATTGAAATAGGTCCAACGGTTTTTTACTACAAACATCAAGCGAGAAGATATACCAACCTTGATCTGTGAAAAATATGACTTCCGCAAATGCATTTGAAGAGTAGCAGTTACCGAAAACCTCCCTTATCAGTGCAAAATATTTTGCGGTATCCATATCGGTATGTGTGGGAG